TTCAGCCAAATTCCATGGATTCATTCCCAGAGATTCTCTGGGCTTTCCAGACTCCATATCAGAAGCCTTTTAAAGGAAAAGCCTCTCCTGATCTTAAGTCCACAGCCCTAAAGGCTCATGGGATGTGACCCAGACAAAGGCAAAAGCGCAGCCGGAAGCCAAGGTAGAACAGGAGCCTCCACTCTCACCCAAACTGACCCCGGTCTGAAGAGCAGGAAAGGGCTCTGAAGGGCTTCCAATAACCCGTGGGCCCCAGCACGGAGACGCCCTTGTCTAACGCCAACACCTTGTCATTAGTGACATTTCATCAGACAGCACAACCGAGTCTGTTAAATATCACATGGCACACGGGATGTGCGAGCACGCCACTGGGTGAGTCACACGGCACCTCAACGGACTCGCTCTCACGTAGCACCAGGTGAGGCAGGCTCTGGCAGAGCTGTCCCCCAGGATTCCTGGGCCAAGATTCACTCAGGGAGAAGGCTGGGCATAGCTGGGCCAACTCCCTAAGCAAGAGGGTGAAGGGGGCCAGGCAGGCCCGGTGATGAGGACTGGGCACTGCAGCGCTGGAGCACGGGACATGTTCTGGGAGACACTGCGGACAAGGGCCTCATTCCCACAGGCTCAGCCCAGAGAGGCTTTCCCATGACGCCCATCGAGGCCAGCTTTGTCCATGCATGTATCCAGGAAAGGAAGGCTTGGGGGTCCACAGTCCTGCTCCAAACACCGTGGCACTGGGCTCCCCCATTTTCACAGTCAAGACTTCCACTCGTGGTGCCCACTCTGGCAGGCGGAAACCTGGAGGAAGCCAAGGCCAGGAAGGGAAGGGAGAGCCCTCCTTCCCAGGCATGGTGGAGAATGTCCTGTTCTCCAGACGCTCCCCTCCAGCCACCCGCCACCTCCCGGGCCCCTCCACAGACCACAGGGACAGGTCCATGAGTCAGTAAGTCAGGCTTGCAAAAGTGTGCAAAGAAGTCAGCTCCTCTCCTTCAAATCCACCCCCACACCATCTACCCTGAAGGGGCATCTCTGGTCGTTTCCCCTGTGCCGAGGAGAGCTCTCCTCTCCAGGAACACAACCTCAAGTGCGGGTGCAGGGGGAGAAGGCAGACGGGAAAGCTGCTTTGACAGACTCAGGTCCACAGAACTGGAAGGGTCCTTGGAGACAGGTGAGCATCCTTGTGTGATTAACGAGGAAACTGAGGGTATGAGGAGTGAAACGATCCCTCCAGGCCCACTACGGAGCCCAGCGCAGAGCGAGCACAAAAGGCAGGTCTCCTGTCTCCAGGCCACCACAGCAACCACCTCCACCCACCACCCATTGGTCCCTGTTTCTCCCAGTGCAGCTCTCCCACCTGAACTCTGAGTCCAGGCAGAGCTCCCCAGAGGACAGCTGGCCATGCTATAACAATCCCCAGGTCCTGCCAAACTCGTCCTGAACGCAGGCTCTCCCTCATCCCTTACCCGCTACTGGCAGGTGGTGGAAAATCTGAGTGGGGGCGGGTGGGACGGGCTGTGGGAGATGAGTTACAGCAGTATCCTGGCTCTGGACCAGGAGCTCACCTGGCCACACGCTGGAGCACCGGACCTTCCCACGAAGGACCTGATTCAATACCAAGACACAGCACGTGCGTGGGTCCTGCAGTCGCCCTTGCGGACATTAACGCCCAGTGCCTGGCGCTCCCCCACTCGGCTCGGCGCCTCTCAGAAACTGTCAGCACTTAGCTCCCGGGACACCTCATTCTCAACCCTCCCAATACCTAGTCTTGTTTAAATACCCTTTCTGGTTCTACATTGTGAAGCTTACCCTCCAATTCTCCTCTTCCTGGGTCCCCCTGCCTCCAGAAAAACAAACAAACCCCACTGGCTCTTTGAACAGACACAGATGTTCTTACAAGCCACCAAATCGCCCTGCTCCAAACTCTCCCGTCTCACTCAGGGCCGCAGACCCCTTAGGAGCTGCACACTGTCCTTCCTTAAGACACCACTAGTAAAGGGGGTGCTGCCGTTCATGCCGCTCCTCAACCCAAGACTCCTTGTTGAGACGTCTGAGGGAGGCTCACCCATGCCCCTGTAGCCTGGTGGCCGCCGTGCACCCAGCCCACACGTGTGCACGGGGTCCGCAGGCCCCAGCTTGTCTTCACTGGGCTTGGACTCAGGCTGGCCCTCCAGCTCCCTTCGAGGCGCAGTTCCTCATCCATCCTGTCATTCCTCATACCCTGCGCGTGCCGCGGCCTGACAAGGTCCTCTTAGCATTTAGAACAAGGAGAGAATGCATCTTGACCCAAGAATTAGTATGCTCCCTTCCATCGTGTTTTGGGCTCAAGTGGCCCATGAGTCTGCTTTATCTCAGCTGCCGGGAAGCTCCGCTTAGTAACCCTGCCAGAGCGCATACTTGCAGCATTTGCTCCCAGACTTCCTTATCAGGGGTCTCAGTTTTTACTTCTAAGCGTCCTCCTGTTGTATGCAGTTTTATTTCAAATCACCTCGATTAGTTTTTGTAGGCGATAAGGTATATTTTTTTAAGTAAGCAAAAGAGAAAAGCCTATCTTCTCCACGGCTTTCCCAACCGGCAGCCAGCTCTGGGGATGAGCCCCTGCTCTGAACTCAGCAGCGCTTCTTTTCCAAACCAAAGTCCTGCTTCTCCTTCCACACGAACAGGACCCCAGCGCTTCCAGGACACAAAGAAGCCCCCTTCCCTCTGCAGCCCCTGGCCCCCACTGCCTCCACTCCTGCCTCCCTGCCAGGCCTGCACCCACTGCGGCCGCTCCCACCCTCCACTCACAAACACTCTAACATGTTCAGTCTCACACTCACACACACACACACGCTGACACACACTCCACTCCCACACTCTCTCACACACTATGACACTCTCACATACTTGCACACACATTTTCACACATTCCCCCACACATACACACGCTCACACACCACACACACTCCACACTCTCTCATACACACACACACTCACTCCCTCCCTCTCTCTCTCTCTCTCTCTGAAAAGCACCATGCCTCAGCCACTCCCTCCCTCAGGAACCCCTTTCTCTTCTGGACTCTGGCCCACTCTCTACCGGCTGTGCTTCCACCTCCCAGCCTCCCTGTCACAGCCTCCACTTCCTTTGCCCCTCCCTTAAGAACTGGTGTTTCCAGCAGAGTCCTGCCTCACTGTCCACACCAACGGCTTCTCTTCTCACCAAAACCTGAGGATGCCCAAATCTGCAGGGATCTCCAGCCCGACTCCCTCTTGGGTTCTCCCAACCCGCCCTGTACATCTCAGTCACCGAGTGGCTTTCATCACCAACCAGGCGTCCAACAATCCCAAACCCACGTCTCCACTCCAGCCTCTTTACTGAGCTCCAGGCCCACAAGTCCAAACGCCCCCAGACACTGCTGTGGGGATGGCGATGGCCCCCCAGGCACCTCAAATGCTACACATCCAACAACCCCTCTACTGAATGATTCCATCGCCCCCTAGTTATTCCCCTAGGAAACATGGTGGTCACCATTCATTTATCCATTCAAGTAACGTTTGTCAAGCGCTTACCACATGCCAGGTTCTATGTGCAGGACGAGGCGTGGCGTAAACAAAAGAGAAATGGCTTTTGCCTCCAGGGAACATTCAGCCAGTCATCCAGTCCTGTCAAGTCTACTTACCAATCATCTCTGAAATGACACACTTTTCTCCACCCCCACAGCCACTACCTTAGTCCAGGCCAGTATGCTCTACTGGAAAGAAAGCAGTATAGACCGGACCCCAGCTCTGAAATGTATGAGCAGGGTGACCTTAGGCAAGTGCCTTTCTATGTCTCTATGTCCTCATTTGGTAGATAAAGATCATAACTGTACCTACCTCGTAGCCTTATTGCAAGGATTAAATGACATAAACCATATAAGAGATCAGTGTCTGCTGTGTAGTAAGCAATCTCTGAATCTCTGCCCCATTGCTACCCCTGTTTCTCCAGCAGTCTCACCTCTAGCCTCCCTCCCTCATGGCACCCCACCTGCAGTGGCCACAAGCCCAGGCTCCCTCCCACCCTCCAGCCTTCTCATATGCTTTTCCGGCTGACTCTTTCTCTGGCTTTCTCCTTCTCATTTTCCAAGGTTCAGCTCAAGGCCCCTCCTCTGGGAGGCCACAGCCCCCATCCCACTGCACTGGGACCACTGCTCTCCTTGTCTGTCTCCCCTTCTGGACTGGGTGCTCCTCGGAGAGCATCAGTTCACCTCTGCATGCTCAGGCCTTAGGACTGAGTGCTGGATGTAAGAGGGGCTCGATAAATGCTTAACAACCAACAGGAAAAACACAAGAATTGGAAAGAGGCAAATTTCAACTCACTGTAGCAAAAAGCAAACAAAATACCTTCCTAATAATTAGGGATACATCTATTAAGCATTTACTGTACACCAGGCTCTGGGCTACGCTGTGGACACACATTATGTCATCTAATCCTCACAATAACCCTGAGATTGGGTACTTTTATTCCTGTTTTGCAGGTGAAGGGATGGAGACTCAGGAAATTTTTAAAACCTGCTCCAAGTCACACAGCTGGTAAGTGGAAAAGTCAGGATTCAAACCCAGGACAGTCAGACTCCAGACCCCGCTCCACCCCAGCAGAGGGAGGGATGAGCCGCCTCATGATGTGCCAGAGCCCCGATGGCCCCGGGACCGCACTGGGATACCAGGCAGGGGCTTCCTTTAGAGCTAGGACTAGGATCACGGGACTCCCTTCTCATTCCAGGCTGGCGGGGTCTACGATTTTAAATTAGCTCCTTGGCCTGTTCATCTCGGTCTCCCCCATGTGCTCGGCAGGAGGCTGGGCACAGAGGAGGCACACAAGAAGCCCGTGCTGCGTGAGGGAACGGTCGAGTGAATGAACGACGACGATGCGTTCCGCACACGTCCAGGTCACCCTCTTTGCTGGGCTCGCGACCATAACCCAGCAGACCAGGGAACGCAGGGACGGAACGGCCCGCGACCCCGCAGAGCCGCGGCGCCCTTACCTGCACAGGTGGTCGGCCCGGCACACGCCGCGGAGGTCCAGGCAGTTGGGCTTCTCCTTGTCCTCGTAGGAGCAGCTGGGCAGGATGGTCTGCCGGCGGCGCTCGGCGCACGCCTGGTCCTGGCAGGAGCAGAAGAGCATGCGATAGGTGTACTCGCCGGGCACGCGGTCGAAGAACTGGCGCAGCGCCTTGTGGCACCTGCGGCGGTTGCAGCGCGCAGCGGGCGGGACCTCGCGGTTGCAGATGGAGATGTAGGAGGAGCGCAGCTTCTTGCAGTTGTCGTTCAGGTTGCAGGCCTTGGCGGCGTCCAGGCAGTGGTTGCTCTTGACGCTGACCGCCGGGTCTGCCCCTGTCCCTGCCGGGGGAGAAGCAGGTCAGAGCCCGCACGGGCACGGGAGAACACCTCCCGCGCACTCAGCGTGCTCTCTGCCTCAGTTTCCTCACCTGTGGATCACTTAACAGGCCCACCTCCTGAGGAGGTGTGAGGGTTAAGTGAGTGAACACGAAGGTCCATAAGGCGCACAGGGCAGCGCCTGGCGCAGAGTAAGCTGCAGGTATGGGGAGCTACTCTGATGAGGACTGTTAATCTCAAGTCTTGTTGAAAACTTAGCATGAGCCGAAAAGGCAAGTAACTAGGTGTGCGTGGCCTGTTCACAGCTGTGGGAAATGGCAAATAAAGTGACCGGCTCAAGATCACACAGCTGGGTGGCAGCTGAGCGCCCAGCAGAGGCACGCTTGAGCAGGGCTTCTGGTCAGGGGCACTGCTGGCATTCAGCGAGGGACAACTCGCATTACGGGACCTTCAGCAGCCAGGGTGCAAATAGCATCAGTGCCACCATCCTGACCCCCACCACTGTGACCCCTGACACTGTGACCACACATTTCAAAATGCCTGGGGGTTGGGGGACTACCGCAGCTGGTTAGTGTGGAGACCCCCACACGGGAAACTCCAGGCTGGGGGCCCCAGCAGTGTGAGGTAGAGCCCAGACTGAACACGGCTGAGTGTAGAACCACCACAGGGTGGACACGCTGGATGCTGGGACTCTGGCGTTACTGCCGTGGCTTTGAGCTCTGTGCCACTGCCCACGGAGTGCACCCTCTTGGGCACAAAGCAGGACTCCCAGGAATCATCAGGTTCCCTCTGTGGTGGCTGCCCCACCCCATAAGTCTCAGCTGTTCTGAGGGGAACACACAGCCCAGGGACCACCTGACCCTCCAGTGCCAGCAACTCCCACCTGCAGAACGTCTCCTGTCCATCCTGGTGACAGAGCGGAAGGCAGGATGCCAGACTGCACAAGCCTCCTGAGACGTTCTGGTGAGAGCGAGATGGGAGATCATCTAACCCCACCCCTTTATTTTAGAGAAGGAAACTGAGGTGGTGACGGGCCAGGGGCTTGCCCAAGGTCACCCAGCACACTGGCAGCAAACCGGAGCCGGAGCCCAGATCACGCCAACACCAGGGGATGTCAGGCAGCACCGTCAGCTTAGGTTTTAGGCTGAGCCATAGCCTTTTCATTCTTCGTTCATCCACCCAACCAATGCTTTCCATTATTTACTGAGCACCACCGCCTCCACAGGAGGCCAGCAAGGTGGTGGGAAGAACGCGGGGTGAGGCACGCTGACACCATGCCCACCCTCCCATGGCTAGCCCCGGTGCCTGAGCACTTCCAGTACAGTTCCTGGTGTTCTGCTCTCTTGGTCACTAAAGATCTATCAAGTCTCACCTCTGCACAGCCCTCTCTGCTAGGGGCTGTGTTGGACAGAGAAGTATAAGAGGAGACCCTGTTCTGGAAGAGCTCACAAATCTAGCTAAGAGACCAGGAGGCAGAACAGCACAGGGGTTAAGACCGGGCGTTCTAGAACTGAGCCATCTGCGTTCAACTCCTGGCCCTGCTACTACTTAGCTGTGTGGCCTTGGGCAAGTGACTGAACCTTGCCTTGCCTCAGTTTCCCTGTCCACAAAATGGTACCTACTTCACAGCATTGCTGAGAGCACGAATGAGATAGTTCATTTTTTTTCTCTCTCCCACATGATAATTTTGCATCTACTAGATCATCCCCATCAGCTATTACATCGCTCATCTTTAAGGAAAAAAAGACCTCCTAGTGACCTTACACCCCCCACTCAGCTGCCACTCTATTTTTCTGCTTCCCTTTAAAGCAAAACCCCTCAGACAAGTTGTCGATACCAGTGGTCTCCTTCTCCCCTCCTGTTCTCTCCCGGACCCACTGCAGCCTGGCGTTTGCCTCCCCACAACCCCCCGTCAGTGGTCAGGGACCCTCAGCCCATCAGCAGCCCTGGACACAGCTGGCCACTCCCTCCGGCCCCCTCACGGCCTCCACTCCCTGCTGGTCTTCCTGCTGCCTCCCTGCACTCTCCTTCTCGTCCTGCCTCGCTGGTTCGGTCTTCTCCATCAGGGCTCAGCCCCCTCTTCTCTATATGCATCCGCTCCCCAGGGCCCTCAGCTCACCCCATGGCCTCAAACACCATCAATAAGCTGTCGACTCGCCAGTCAGACCTCCCCACTGAACCCCAGACTCACAGGTCCAATTGCCTGCTTGCCTGCTCCACCTGGAAGGCTGACACCCACATCCCAAACTTTACATGCCCAAAGGCAAACTCCACATGTCCCCCCAAGGCTGCCCCCACCCCAGGTCTTCCTTATCCCTCTGAAAACAACTGCAGCCTTCCAGTAGCTCAGGCCAAAAATCCTGGCGCCTCCTTGACTTCTCTCTCACTCGCACACCACATCAGAAACACCTGGCAGTTCTACCTTCAAAATACATCAGAATCCAACCACGTCTCACCACCTCCACTGCTACCACCTCGGCCCAAGCCACCGCCACTGTGTGCTGCTAAGAGCTTCCTTCCCAGTCTCCCTGCTCTGTCCTTGCACCCACCACCCCCATCCCCAGCCCAAAACAATCTCTCATCACAGCTGCAGCAAACCTTCTAGAACCTAAGGCAGAGAGATAACACTCCTGGGTCCCAAAACTTCCCATCACTTCCCATCTCATTCAGAGGCCTTGGGGTGGCCTACGAGGGAGGCCCTATACCTGTGCTGACCAATATGGTAGCCACTAGCCACACGTGGCCACGGGACTTGAAATATGGCTAACTCAAAATGAGATGTCTATGATTTTATATACAGAAAACCCTAAAGAATCCACCAGAAAACTTTTAGAAGTAATAAACGAATACGGTAAAGTTGCAGGATACAAAATCAACATACAAAAATCAGTTGCATTTCTATACACTAACAACGAAGTAGCAGAAAGAAAAATTAAGAATACCATCCCATTTAAATTGCAACAAAAAGAATAAAATACCTAGGAATAAACTTAACCAAAGAGGTGAAAGATCTGTACACAGAAAACTATAAAACACTGCTGAAAGAAACTGAAGAAGACACAAAGAAATGGAAAGATATTCCATGCTCTTGGATTCGAAGAATTAACATAGTTAAGATGTCCATACTTCCTAAAGCAATCTATAGATTCAATGCAATCCCTATCAAAGTTTCAACAACATTTTTCACAAAAATAGAACAAAGAATCCTAAAATTTATATGGAACAACAAAAGACCCCGAATAGCTAAAGGAATCCCGAGAAAAAAGAACAAAGCTGGAGGTATCACACTCCCTGATTTCAAAATATACTACAAAGCTATAGTAACCAAAACAACATGGTACTGGCACAAAAACAGACACACAGATCAATGGAATAGAATCGAAAGCCCAGAAATAAACCCAGACATCTACGGACAGCTAATCTTTGACAAAGGAGCCAAGAACATAAAATGGAGAAAAGAAAGTCTCTTCAACAAATGGTGTTGGGAAAACTGGATAGCCACATGCAAAAAAATGGAAGTAGACCCTTACCTTACACCATACACAAAAATTAACTCCAAATGGATTAAAGACTTGAATGTAAGACCTGAAACTATGAAACTTCAAGAAGAAAACGTAGGCAGTACGCTCTGCGACATCGGTCTTAGCAACATATTTTCAAGCACCGTGTCTGACCGGGCAAGAGAAACAATAGAAAAAATAAACAAATGGGACTACATCAAACTAAAAAGCTTCTGCACAGCAAAGGAAACCATCAACAAAACGAAAAGACAACCTAACAATTGGGAGAAGATATTTGCAAACCATACATCTGATAAGGCTTAATCTCCAAAATATATAAAGAACTCATGCATCTCAACAACAAAAAAACTAACAACCCCATTAAAAAATGGGCAAAAGACCTGAACAGACATTTCTCCAAAGAAGATATACAGATGGCCAACAGACACATGAAAACATGTTCAAAATCACTAACTATCAGGGAAACACAAATCAAAAGTACAATGAGATATCACCTCACGCCCGTCAGAATGGCTATAATTAACAAGACAGCAAACAACATGTGTTGGAGAGGATGTGGAGAGAAGGGAACTCTCATACACTGCTGGTGGGAGTGCAAACTGGTGCACCCACTACGGAAAACAGTATGCAGATTCCCCAAAAAATTAAGGATAGAATTACCATATGATCCAGCTATTCCACTGCTGGGTATTTATCCAAAGAACTTGAAAACACCAATGCGTAAAGATACAGGCACCCCTGTGTTCACTGCAGCATTATTCACAATAGCCAAGACTTGGAAGCAACCTAAGTGCCCATCAAGGGACGAATGGATAAAGAAGATGTGGTATATATACACAATGGAATACTACTCAGCCATAAGAAACGATGAAATCCAGCCATGTGTGACAACATGGATGGACATTGAGGGTATTATGCAAAGTGAAATAAGTCAGAGGGAGAAGGTCAAATACCGTATGATCTCACTCATTAAGTAGTAGATAATAACAACAACAAACAAACACATAGAGACAGAGATTGGATTGGTGGTTACCAGAAGGGAAGGGGGGAGGGAGGAGGGTGAAAGGGATAATTCGGCACATGTGTCTGGTGATGGGTTGTAATTAGTATTTGGCTGGTGAACATGATGTAATCAATGCAGAAATAGAAGTATAATGATGTACACCTGAAATTTATACACTGTTATAAACCAGTGTTACTGCAATAAACAAAAAATTTTTTAAAAAAATGAGCTGTCCACACCAGATTCTGAAAATACACACCAGGTTTTGAAAACCTAATAAGAAAAAAATAATAATGTAAACATTTCATTAACAATTTTTAACTTTGATTACACCTTGAAGCAATAATATTTTGGAAAAACTGTGTTAAACAAATGCATTATAAAATTAATTTCACTTGCTTCTTTTTACTCTTTTAATGCAGTTCTAGAAAATTTAGAATTACATGTGATCCATATTGTATTTCTATTAGCCAGTGCTG